TAGCAGTCCTCACTTTCAGCTTTCATCACGAAAATACTGCTGCTGCATTCTATGTAATCACGCCACCATCTTCAATTGGCTCAAAGTATTGACAGAAACATATTACACCATATTATGTCTTTTATGGATACATCAGTCAAGCCTCCTATTTGGAGGGCATTTTGCATTACAATATATTCATAGATATAGATTCTATACATTATAACTCCTATAAAGCCCACCTGGGGTACCTCGTCCGTTCTGTTTGTACGGTGGGGCTGTTGGGACCTAATTAACGTCGTACACATTTTTTCACAATTTTTATAAAATTAATGATCAATCAGCGCTACGCAGGCAGCTCCTCGTGCTATTTACACTTTCTGAGAGGCAGTCCCATTACCCCACGAAAATGGGCTCATTACCCCAGTGGGGTAATTTACCCCTAGGTTGGGAAACACTGCCCTACACCATTGAACCATTTCTTCACATAGCATCTGTAATCATCCTCCTTTGCCTCTTTGTGGTGGATTAGGATAACTTCTGCAATAAACACAAAAACCACACATAAATAATTTATTTTCAGTTCTTTATATCAAGCATGCTGAGGTGTTCTAACATTGGAGTGATCACTAGCAATTTGTAATACATGTACATAGGTACAGGGTCTTTCTGGCAAAAATGGCTAGAAGTACTGCAACAACTTTTGTTCATAAACCATACAATATTCTGTGCCATCAGATTACCCAGTGCTGTAGAAGATTTGGAAAGAGAAAATTTGTCCAGTGACAGTTTTATTTGGCTCAGCTTTTACTTATGCCTCTCATGCAGTTAGATTGAGAAATGAAATTAGTCATTCTTACCAAATATAGCACGGTACAATGTGAGGTCTCGGAAGCAACCCTTCCCTTTCATTCCTGTCCCACTTAGGTTGTAACCTGCCGCCACCTCGTTGCCGAGAACCTCTCCCAAAATCCTGCGGGTCTCAAGGCCCATATCATTGTTTCCAAATACACTTAAGTATTTCACCTGCAAAATAAACAAATTGTAAATTAGAGGCATAATCCAGGTAATCAGTTACCTTTAGGAAATCTCTACACTAATTTTACTATCAGAAATAGATATTGATGCAAACTAGAAGGCAGGTACTAGCGCTTAACATGCGCTTAGATTCTTTAACATAAATGACTATGAAAATAATTAAGGGCTGTGGCTAGCATGATTTGGGCCAGGTCCGGCCCATACCTGGCAAAAGTCTGGCAAATTATTTGCAAAAAAAATTATAATTTTGTAATAACAAAACCGTTTAATACGTGTTAGAATATGAAAAATAACATTTTTATCACTTACAATGGAATTCCTACAAGTCATTGACTGTGGCCGACAGTTGCCGACTGTGGCCCACATTTGGCAACATCTGGCTAGATGTGGCCCATATCCAGCCAGATGTTGCCACACGTGGGCCATACTTGGGCCAAACCTGTGTGGCTGTCTGGGTGATTAGTTGTTGATGACCCTGTAATGTGACCTTCATCTCCAGCCAAACCGTCTCTGTGGTTACGCCTCAAGAAACGCTGCATCTGGGAAAGAAGGCTGTTTTCATTGCCAGGGTCGGACCTGGTTCGAATCGGAATCACTGGAAAATGTAGGACAAACTAAACACTACTTAAAAATAGGATTAGGTGGAGATGATGATATGTCTTTGCAATATGGTGGTGCAGTGCATGAGTAAACTTAATTAAAAAGAAACTCACACTGGAACTCTTCCAGGTATTCCAACATCCATCTGGCTACATGGTTTGGGTTGCTGTTTGATGGTGTAACTTTCAGCCAAAGTACACGCCGAGAAAAAGAATAAATTGCTGCATGTATGCCAAGTGGGTATTCTTGTTTTCTAAATCCCATCAGCTTGTCATATTGGTCAACATTTATTAACCAGTTAGGGCCCTGTAATAACATTTTTTTAACTGTTATTGATAAGCTCTACAAATGCAAACTGCAAAGAAATAGCAAGTGCTGCAGAGCGGCAGTGCTCTCTGAGGTCAGATATGAGCAAAAAATACAATTTGCAGAGAAGAGTATATTACGTATTGCAGAGTACGTTATATTATAAAATTGTTTTATTAGTTTGTAAAGGAGTTCACATATTATCGTATTATATTTTTTATAACGGTTTCATCTCACTTTTGAATAAAATCGGCACCTTTCTCCTAGTCTTCTGTTTGTGATTGATCCTCTTGAAAGCAATCCTTCTGGATCCAAATTTTGCATTACTGCATAAACATCATCTCTGAAATGGCAAGATCACGGCAAGCAGTTAATGTCCAAAATGAAAAGGCCACCATCAAGAAAATTACATATGCACAAGTATGACATTGTCTGGGATGTTGACCCTATCATAATAAGAATTTTACAGACCTGTCTATTTTTTCATGAACAGCAGTTCACATATAAGGCACTTTTGTTACATTAACAATAGGCCTAGATATAAACCACTGTCGCAGTTATGGTTTATAACTATAGTCGCACAACCAATGCTGTATTTTAGTTTGGCTGCAATACAAAGCATTAGGCATTATCTGTAGAACCTAGAGATCGTGGCACGAGAAAATTGAGAATATATGCTATGATGTTCATGTTATTATAGGATATTAATTCCATCATACATTTACATAAAACGTGTTTCGTTATAAACTTTAATTGGGTAGAAAAGGATATATGAGGGACCCCAAAGTATAATAGTGTATAATGGTACTTACCATTGTAATAGGTTTACCCTTATAATAGTACTTAAACATATGAAATTACTCTGAAAACATAATAGCGAACACACTAGAGGTGCTTAAAGCTTTTTTGAATAAAGTTTTAAGAGTAATTTTTATTAATTAAAAATTTTAATTAAACATGTCTAGTATGGCAATTATGTTTAGAGGCCCACGTGCCGATACTTCTGGCCAAGTCGGGCACATCTTCTCCTTCAGCTTCACATTTAATTGCATCCTCTTGAGAATTTTCATTATCAGTGAGAACCGCTTCCTCACTATGACCATACGCTAGAAAGTCCATATCATTATGTTCCCAATCCTCAAGCACCAATCCTGTGCTGAATGTATATTCATCTTCATTTTCTCGTGTAGCATTCTGAGGTAGATCTGCTAAGATTTCCTCTTCTAACTCGCATTCATCACCAGAATCTGCGGCTACAGTCTCTAATTCTGCTTTTCTCCGTCGCCACTGTGGAACGCACACGTGCAGGAAGACTCTGTGACCCGCAAAGGTCCTTCTGACGACGGTTTCAACAATTCATCGTCTGGTAGTTGCACACTCTCTCGCTTTGCAATCTGTCCCACAACTTTGCGATATGCTAAGGGAGTGAGCACGTTTTTATACAACCGGTCATCATTGGTGATGTCACTCGGCTCATGGGTTGCCGTTGTTATGCGTTCGGTGAGTGCCTTGTGCTCTCGCTCTGATCTTAGCACACGGAGTACTGAGAATAAGTTCGCAAAAAATGCAGACAGGGTCGCATACCTTTCACACACACTTTTGATGTGACCGTTCAGACTCTAACCGGTTATTTGTTCCATCACCGATGTTGAAGTGCTGTGCTTTAAAGCAATGTACCCACTCATGTTTGAGCGCCAGCCAGTTCTTGCGAAAGTATTCAACGGCAGGAGGAACATTTATATCCTCTAGAAGGGCGCACTGTTCCTCAAAGCATGCCTCAGAGCGTGCATGCGCCATGTCACTAAAACATCCTAGAAGTGCATTGCGCACACCAGCGCACACCAGCGCGATCTTCTCCACAGTAATTTCCCGAGAGAAGCTGCGTAGTGTGTGGAAGAGACACAGCTGTAATGTCGCATTGCCATTGGGGAACGCATCTGACAAGACATTTCGTTTAGTAACATCTTTGGTCGTCATTATGACCTCAGTGCGTGGCTATGCTTTGTTGTGTGACTTGAAAATCTGAAAAGAAGGATCAGTTGCTATGAAGTACATTTTTAACATATTCCGATGATAAGTGTTTAATTAATCAATTTTAAAAGGCAGTGTTGCGTGTTACTTTACATAAAAAACATTGAAAACACACTGAACACATAATGTTGAATTTTTGTATAAATTGCTGTTATGGCAGATATATACAGTACACAAATTTAATCTATTATCTGAAATGCTGAAAACTGAAAAGCTTCGAAAACCTGAAGTTTTTTTCATGGAGGTTGGCTGCACACTAAAGCCAGTGTTTGGCACCAAAACTCATGTCAACAACAGCTGCAAATTCTCCTATTGGTAATAGTGAGAAGCATCTAGATAGACTTATTCATATTGTACTCTACCGGTAAAGCACTTGGCTGTTTGAAAACTTGGGTTTTAGTATTGGCTAGTTCCAATATATACGGTATGTGTATCTGTACCATACTACTATTCCGGGCGTTCATGTGTAGTAATCGCAGTATAAATGCCTCGTATATGTGCCATCTATCATGCGTGCTATGCCATTTAGGGGTCCGTTTTATTTTCTCATGATATTTAGGGGTACGATTTACATTATCATATGCCAATAAGGGGTGAAATTAATTTGCTACCGCTGAATATGTCATTTAGCTCCTTCCACTCGGGGCCCTTATTTTACCATCCATATCTTCTATCGGAGGAAATTTAGGAAAATTTGCAATTTTTGACCCAATGTTTTGCAAAGCTCTCATTATATATCATAATTACATTATACATAGTTGGAAAGGTTGTAGTCCCAGCTTAATTTTGATGTATTATAACTTTAGGTACCTTTGGCCCACCTTCATGTAGCGTTGCCATAGAAACAGGTAGTTTGGGCATCGTCCGAGAATCACGAATAATTGGCGAACGTCATTTGTCAACAAACGTTTGAAAGTTAGTTTTCATAAACTGTCACAAACAACTTGAAACTGTCAGAAACTCTTATAGAAACACCAAACGATGAAAAAACAGTTCATAGCTAGATATTTCTTCAATATTTACAGATGATAATGGCGGACAGTGTTGTACAAGCGGAAACAGGGGGAACATAGCGCTTTTCCACAGTTGGGACACCAGTAGATTGTTTCCTTTCTTTTTCTGTCTGCTTGTTGTTGTCCTTCCTGCTTTCTCTGGAACGCAGACTTATCAAGGCACACTCTGCATGCTCTCTGGGGATGTTTCCTTTTTTCTGTGCTGGGTAGGAAGTCAGGAAAATGGCACCCGATGAGTCGATCAACGTTTGTTGCATCATTAGCGGCATCAGCATTCACTATCTCACCAGCCCCCTCTACTAACTCATTTCGAACCTCCTTTAGAAACTTTTTCAGAGGCCACTTTGCTTCACCATGCTCTTGTCTGACTTTGCTGTATACTTTATGTGCATTTATCAGCGACAGGTTTATCATGTGAAAAAACAATTTTCCACCACTTCATGGTTTTACGAGTGAAGGCATAGTATGACATCTGATCACTCTTGTCAACTCCAGCCATGTGATCATTGTATGGCTGCACACACTTGGGCTTTTGTTTGGCTTTTCTACCCCCTGGTGCCCTGACCATGACCTCAACCATGTCATCAATATGTTGTGTTGAAAGCATCAATACATCCTTTTTGTCTCGCCATTTTAGCGCAAGCAGGCTCCCGCTTCTAAATGCTACGACCTGTCCCTTCTGAAGTTTCTGATTCAACTGAACTTTTGGAAGTTCCTTCCTATTTGCTTGGCATGTCCCTGTAGAAAGTGTCTCTTCTGTACAGTTCATCATAAAGTTTTGGGCTAGAATAATATCTGTCCATAAAAAGAGCATGACCTTTGTCAAGATGCCGTTGCATTATATTCATGACACAGTCAAATGTTTTCTCCTGAGACTGCTGTCGCTCCATGCCAGTAAATACTTCGAACTCGAAACAGCAACCAGACTCGGCTTCACAAAGCTCGTGCAGCTTTATTCCCCATTTACTGGGCTTGTCAAGATTGTAGACACGAAAAGAGACACGGCCCTTGAAGCCACATGTGCCCTCATTGAGCGATATTTCCCTTCCAGGATTCATGTTATCTCCGAATTTCTGAAGCAACATTTCGAGAACAGGTCGAACTTTATTTAGTGGGTCATGGCCGTCGTCACCTTTCCTTACGTATGTACTATTATCAGCCACATGTAACATCCACAGAATTCCCATAAAGCGTTCACGTGACATCACGGCCGGTGCAAATGTAGATTTCATGATGCTCTCGACCGACCAATAATCTTGCAGTTCAGATTTCTGAACCAGCCCCATGTGGATAATAATTGCCCAAAAAAGTTCAAGTTCAGACAGTGTCACGGTTTTCCACTTATTTACATAACTTCTTGGGGATAACTGCTGACCCAAACGTTTTTTTGCCGTGCATACAAGTTCGTTTGCTCCTTTATGTGACGAAAGAAATCCTCCGTGAGAAATTCATTTACTTCTGTGAGGGGGGTAGGTATTGCATCGCCAAAGTCGATGTTTACCTTGTGATCCCCTGTAAAAGGTGGAATAACTGGCAGAACTTTCGCATCCCTATCCCATGGCACCTGTTGTTGTCCACCTCTGCCTCTACGACCCCTGCCACACCCACCACCCCTGCCACGCCCACCACGATCACAGCCCCACGTTGTGGCGGTGGAGACGGGGACTGTGCTTGCCTTTGCCTACGATCCCTAGCAAGAGGACGGCCTCTATTATTGATATTATCAGAATCAGAATTTGAATCAGACATAGGACTAGCCCTACGTGTACGTTTTGGTTGATGTGGGCTATTATCATTATCCCTCGCACTGTCAGAAATGTTATGCATGCCGTTTACATTATCATTGACGTGCATGTCAATACTTTCACTTTCAGAGTCGTCAAATGACTCATTCACAGATTTTGCTTCATAATCACTGCTGTCGACGTCATCAAACACTTCTACTCTAGATTGCTATCTTCAGCCAATTCCGACCCAGAATCAAAGTTACTCAGTTGATCAAGCACTTCTTGTAATTTCATCTGAGCTTTCTGAATTATTTCATTCTAATGAATCTTAACGCCATCTGTGGTCACTAAATCACACTACAATTCTAGTAATAGTGTCTCCAATTACCGTCAGATGGAGTAGGTGTGCATAGGCGCGAATTTCACTAATGATTCTGCTGGGAATCCCCTGCCGTAATGACACGGTTACCGCTGGAGCGGAGTAGATTTCACTACTGTATATATACGGTAGTCGAGTGGAAAGAGTTAAAATAAAATGTGAATGTGTTATTAGTATTGTGGCTTCTGATCTTTTCCTGAGGCACACTGTGCTTTATATAGCCGTTAAGAAAGCGGTTTATTGACTTTATTCCCGGTTGGCCTACTCCCATGTCGCCTATGGGAAAATTCCCATTTCGTCTACGGCAAAATTCCCAGTGGGCCTACACCCATTTCTCCTACTCCTAATTCGTCGTCGCTCAAAATCTACCCCATTCCCATTTTGGCTATGATCGGTTAATGTTGTTCACGAAATAATCATTTATAAATAATAAAATATGGTTTTGATGCAGGACCCAGAAGAAAATGACGTATGACATGTGCAGCGACACATTGTCCTTTCAAAGCGACTATATTAGTGCGTCGGGCAGTATCCCTAGACGCGCAGCCATTCGGCTAGATATTTGTTTGATACGAGTTTGTGCGACGCCACAACAGCCCTGTATAGCGGTAAACTCTTCTCATCTATTCATTTATGACATATTTATACACATTATCATTGCGATCGCGCCACAACAAACTCGCCGCTCCAGACTGCGGGGTCACTTCTTATGAAGGCAGATTTATGTACAGCAGTCAATATGGTATGGACGTCATGTATACGTGCACATCATTCATCATCATTCCATATCCATGATGCCCGCGTAGATGCGCAGTTCCAAGCATTGCTCAGCATTTCCAGTGTGAAATGTGAAAACCGCTTCATTCGCACTGTCACGTCTGAACACTAGCCCCTGTTATGCGGGCCCCCCCTCCCCTGTTAAATGTGTACAGGTAGGTGTATTGTCAATTGACACTGATAACGAAGTAGTGTCATTAACACTACTAATGATTGCAAGTACGCGGCGCACGCACCATGCTGCATGATGGCCGCGTAGATGCGCCTACTTCATTTGCGCAGTTCAACGCATTCCTGATGATTGTCAGTGTGAAATGTTAAAAAGCCTCCATTTGCACTGTGACGTGTCAACACTAGCCCCCCTAAAGCGGCCCCCCGTCCCCCCTGGTGTGAAATGTCTGGAGGTAGGCCTATGCTGAATGAACAGTGATAATGAAGTAGTCTGATTAAGACGATAATCATTGCAATTATACATTATTTACTAGCATACATTATGATGCATGCAGTATGATACGAGTATATAGCAGTTATATAGCACTTATATAGCAGTTATATAGCAGTTATAACGCAGTATCATTAGTAGTTTCTTATATACGTCA